TCCAATAAGTAGTATAGTAAATTTAAAATATTAATAAAGAAAAATCTTTAATATCTCTTTCTGTAGCCAGTTTGATATTGGTATCATTAAGAATCAGCCAAGCTTTTTAAAAAAGTAAATACAGTGAAAATGGTATTTAACTAGTGGACATAGCAAAGATTTACAAGTTATTGGTTAGTTTTCATTTAATTAATTTACATGTGACAACTTAATCACATATAAGTATACTTACATATTAACAGTGAATTTTGTGTGGTTATTTTTGAGACATCAGAGGGACAACAATATGTTGAGGCATATTGGTAAAGTTTGGGAACTACTAACTTTAATTTTTTTTATTTTGCTTCAGTATTCTAAAGTATTTCTCTCATTTTAGTTTTTCCTCTTCCATTTACAGAGTTATTATACAGAAGTTTATTTTAAGAAATTAACACTCATTATAAGGAAATGTTTTAAATGTGCTTAACATCTGTGCCAGGTGTGATATATTTAGTTATTTTTGTAAAGAAAAGTGTTCATAACTTTCATTATTCTCCTGTATGGTGCATCTTTTATTGAGCACTGTAGACAATTGATAAACATTATTCAGTGGCATATGGTCTCAGTCTAACGTGCTTTGAAAAGAGTACAGGGTTCTCATAATGAGGATTCTGTGGAAATGGGAAAACCAGCACAGCAGATATGCTTTGAGAAAGTATGAGTTTTTAGCATCTTGAAACAATACATCACACTCAAAGAGACAGAACTGGGCTGCACAATCTGTTAGCTCATTCTTGTCCAATCTGGTCTCCTCTTTTCTTTTGGAGCCAGCATTGTCATCAGCTCACTGAATTATATTCTGACTGGAATGTATTTCAAGCACAGAGTAATGTATCTACTTAAATGGAATCCTATCTTTCTACAAAAGCTTTTTGAGTATAATAAATTTAAAATATAAAAAAATTCTATTAAGTTAAAATAATTGGTTCAACAGTTTACATATGTGCCTGCTCCTCCCCCACCACCCTAGAATAAGACCATTACTTAAAGAAATACAGATCTGTTCTTATTTTATTTACAATATCAAATATTTCTTTTGGTTTAACTATCAGGTAGCTGGACATATTTCAGTAGCTGTTTGTTAGAAAGATACATGTGCATTACAACAAATGTTAGCTGAACAGAAATGAACTGTATAATTAAAACTTCCTCTATCAGAGTGTTTTAACTATAATAACTGTTCTTTTTAAGATTATATAGCAGCCTTTCTTAACAAAAATTGCCTTAGTGTCCAAAGCCATCATTTCGTGTAGTTTTCTCTTAACCATCTAGAATAATGCTAACAGTCCTTGGAAAACTTAAGATGATAATTCAGATTTTTTTGTGTGTGAGCTTGGTTCTCTCGTGGAAGCAAGGTTGAGAAAAGCTAAGACTTACAGTGTTCAAGTTCACTGGGTCTTTCAATTTGAAATTTACTGGATTGTGTTAATGAATTGTGTGTTACATCAAAACTGTAGCTTTATGTAAAAATTTAAATGAAATAATCTTTGTAAAGTTGTAAGTACAATGCCTAAGTACTCAACAAATGATTTCTGTTATCATGCCTTAAGCTTTCATTTTTCTAAGTTTCTAAAATGTTCACTTGTATTATGATAATTTGATAAAGATGAAAATTGTTTTTATCTTAAGCACAGTAATAAACATATAAAATTCAATCAAAATTTTATCTTCAAGCTTAAACAGATTGCCCTAGTAGCATTTTACTTAATGATTGAGTAACGTGACTATAAATTTCACTTTTTTATTGTGTTTAAACAATGCAGAATTTATCCACAATAACCATGTAATAAATGAAGTTGCTTTTTTGTGATTGTTCTCATGAGGATTTCAGGTCTTTGCCTGTTCTGATAGGCAGATAGTTCTTTTTAATGCATTGATTTATGTGAAAGTGGGGGCAGGGAGAATGAAAAACAGCTACCCTTCCCTAATGGAAAAGAAAAGGATGCCTGACTGCACCTCCTACCATGGTATTCTTTAGTTTTCCTGTGGTAAATGGCACATTACTTTCTGGATATGCTTTACACTGTGCTGAACCGCTTTAAGAATTTTACAAGTAACAAAATACACTGTGAAACTACAAGAAAACCGCTGAAACTCATTGTTAGAGCAAAACTAACTGTGAATTGATTCATGATAGTGTAAATTGAAGATATTTATTCAGTGGATTATTAAACAAAAAATGGGAAATAGAGTGTCAGTTGAGATGGCTGATATAATTTATGAAACAAGGAAGCACCTTTCTTGATAGCATGCATTTGTAGGTAGCTTACTTATCCTATACTAATTTAAAAGGTAAAGTGGATTTATGTTAACGTATTTCCATATTCTTGTTTAACAATTTATAAAATAAGCAGTGCAGGAACATTAGGTGACCACACTGTGACTACAATACAGAATGAACTGTTTATTAATTGTATTCTGTTCAGGGAAAGTTGTTGAACAACATTTCTGATGTGTATAATTAAAAAATTACCTAATCCAGGCAGTGTTTTTTGTACATTAGTAATCATTACATAATCAAATTTAATCTTTCTATTTTTTTTTAAATTGGTGTGAAGCATCTTGTTTCCAAAGCTTAGAGATTTTTCTAACCATTGAAAACAAAATAATAATAAAAACAATTGGAGTGCTTCACTATATGGGTCTTTGTCTTACACATTTTTACTACACTGCAGCAGCCAAGCTAAGGTTAGCAATGTTTGAGTTACTTAATGGCTTATGGGTAGCCAGCAGTGTTTTTGTAGATATACTTGAGTATATTAAATTAATAGTAAAAGGGGAAAAGGAAATGAAATTTGAAGGCAATACCAGCTTATAATAATTATATACATACCTATTTCCCAGTACCTTCTCCACTATTGTTTACTGTTGGAATGTGGTAGTAAAGTTATGAACATAACTAAAGTAGGTCCCCCTTTTAAACACTCTTTATTTAAAGTCAAGCCACGTGATGGCTGCATTACTCCCTCATAAATTTGCACAGAAGGAACTTCACCAAGCTACATCTTATGTCATCCTGTGTGTTAATGAGTAGTAAAGATCTTCATTAAATAGGAGATTGGGCTTCCTACTAAGTTCTTTACATGGAGTACAGTTTGTAAGAACAGGAATTGCTGCTTTCTTGCCATGAAGCCTGTGTTCATTAAATATTTTCAGTGTACAATGGAAAGTTACAAGAGAATTCAGAGAACATTTAGAGAGTACTTTTTTTTATAAAATAATAGTTTATTTTTACATCATTTTGTACTTTTTTTTCATCTCAATTGTAATCCCCGTGGGTTTCCCATCACTGAGTCACCCGTGTGCCATCACTTCCTTCCCCCCCCATTTTTGATCCCATTCCCCACTCCACCCCCACAAAATGTCTCTGACATATAGCTGTTCGTTGTTATTATTATTTTGTCACCTGGTCTGTCACACTCCTGCTATAAGTGAAACCATCCAGTATTTTCCTTTTTTTCTGCCTTATTTCACTAAACATGATCTTTTCCAGCTCCATCCAAGTTGCTGCAAAAGACATGTGTTTCTTTTTTTTTTTTTTTTTTGGTTGCTGAGTAATATTCCATTGTATATATGTACCACAACTTTTTAATCCAGTCATCTACTTTTGGGCATTTGGGCTGCTTCCGTCTTTTTCCAATTGTAAATAAAGCAGCAATAAACATGGGGGTGCAGGTATCTTTTTCAATCAGTGTTTTTGTGTCTTTTGGGTAGATACCTAGGAGTGGGATTGCAGGGTCGTAGGGAAGCTCCATGTTAAGCGGTTTGAGGAACTTCCAAACAGTTTTCCATAGTGGTTTGTACTAGTTTGCATTCCCACCAGCAGTGCAGGAGAGTTCCTTTTTCTCCACATCCTTGCCAACATTTGTTGTAGAGAGTATTTTTAAAAATTGAATTTCAGAAACTGTTTAGATAAATCAATTGAAACTGGAAATTAAATCTATTATAAAATTCAAAGCTGGAATATATAAAAGTTATTAAAAACAGGTGAAGTATTTAATCAATATTGCTAGAATAACTGGTTAATTATTTAGAAAAATTTAGATTTCTGTCATACTATCTATTGTGAAATAAATTACAGATTATTTAAATAAAAAATATTGTACAACAGTACAATAGAAGCACAAAAATAGAAGTTGAAGTGTTAATATGTATATACTTGATCATCAAGATGAAGAAATGATTTTTAAGCAACAAAGCACAAGGGGCCAATTTAAAAATTTAAATCTGTAAAGTAAAAAACATATTTATATATACATGAAATACAATTAGAAAACTGGGTGAAAGTATTAAAACATGATGGAAAGGCATTGATATTCTTAGTTCATAAAACGTTACTATAAACAGAAAGGCAATCATATCCACTTAAAAACAAAGAAATAGTTTACCCAGTAAATATGAAAAGCTCTTAACTGAGTAATTGATCAAACAAGTGGAAATCAAGCAAAAATGTACTTGTTTGATTTTTTTTAACTGAAGAAAGTAAGGTTTAGAGAACATATATGACTTCCTCTGAGACAAGAGTTCAGTGAGAAACCTAAATTCAAATGATTCTGCTACCTGGTGGTATTATGAATGATTTTTAAATTTTTAACACTGACCCTAAAAGATAGAAGTCTTTTCCACAAGACCAGAAAAAGACACTGAAATATTGTAGGCAACATTACATCCCTTTTAATAATTGTTACTTATTAAAGTAACATTCCATTTATGCACAGGCATTTTTTCTTGTTGCATTAAAACAAAATGAATAACATTTAAACTTTATTTCACTTAGAATATGCATTGCCACTAAATATTCTTTTCAATTTATTTCATTGTAATCATAGCAGTACAAGGGTCTTGTACTTTTATGTTCATAGTATACTAAGAAGAGCAAAGAACAAAAATCAAATACAGTCGTCCTATCAATATTTTAAAACTAATACATCTACATATTCTAATTGGTTTTCTACTTGCAGATGGAGAACATCATTGGAACATTAAGAGATTCCAACTTGAAGCTGACACTTGCTTTTGGAATAGGAATGCATCATGCTGGACTTCATGAAAGGGATCGAAAAACAGTTGAGGAACTATTTGTAAACTGTAAAGTTCAGGTACTTTCTTACCACAAACATATATGTTTCTTTCCCCTTCTCATTTTCTTAATTATTGGTGTTTCTTTTTTTTTTTTTTTTAAAGATTTATTTATTTGTACATACAGAACTGGGGTACAGGCCAGAGGCTCAAGGGCGGTGAGAGGCCTCACCAGAGACACAGTGGGGAGCAGAACAGGCAGATCGACGAAGTACACTGCTGAGGGGAGCAGCGGGCGGGTCAGGAGAGGTCTGCCACGCCATGTGGTCACCTCCGGGGCAGGCGGGATTCAAACTCATGCAGAAGTGGCTTTAGCTTCTCAGTGCAGTGCTTTAACCCACTGCGCCACCAGGGAGGGCTGGTGTTTCTTTTTTATTTGCACTAACATTGGTTTACAACTCTGTATATGATTTAAAGATCTAAGCTCACACTGTTCAGGTATATGTCATAATACTGCAACCATCAGTCACCTAGGCACTGAGAGTTCTCTACCATAGTCCACTGTGCCTTCTCCCCATTTTACTCTCTCTTCATCTCTCCCCCTCTACTAGCCTCAGTTCTACAGTCAGATTTCTAGGGTTTGCTGTTGGTTTGATACCTGACCCGTTGTTTTGGTTTTTCATATTCCACATTTAAGTGACACCATTGGTATTTGTTTCTCCAGGTTATTTACTTCTCCTGGTGACTCATTTCACTTAGCATAATCCCCTCCAATTCCATCCATGTTGTCATATAAGTCAAGAATATCTCTTTTTATAGCTGAGTAGAATTCTGTTGTGTGTGCGTTTGTGTGTGTATATATTACATATATATATATATATATATATATGTATATCTCATCTTCCTAATTCATTCAGCTGTCTTTAGGCACTTAGGTTGTTTGCATAGCTTGGCTACTACAAATAGTTCAGACATGAAAATATAAGTGCATGTATCCCTTCAAATTAGTGATTTTTCACTCTTTGGGTGGGTTGCTAAAAATAGAATTGCTGGTTCATGTGCTAGATCTATTTACTACCTTAAGAAATCTCTGTACTGTTTTCATATATACTGGACTAGTCTATTCCCACCAACACTGTATGAGTATCCTTTTTTTTCCAACACTTGTTTCTGTCTTTTTGATGTGGGCCTTTCTCACACGTGTGAGGTAGTACCTCATTGTGGTTTTGAGTTGCATTTCCCTGATGATAAGTAATGATGAGCATTATTTTTTTTTAATATTGCTATTGGCCACTTGTATGTCTTCTCTGGAGAAGCATCTGGTTAGCTCTTCTGTTTTTTGATTGGGTTCATTCTTTTCATTGAATTACATGAGTTATTTGTAGATACTGGATACTAGCATGCGGAGGACCTTGTCCAGCAAGGTCAAGCGTTTTGGGGGCCCCAGGTCCGGCTACAAAAGAGTCAATCGATCGAGTCGATCGATCGTGCAGCAACAGAGAGAGAGAGAGAGAGAGAGAGAGAGAGAGAGAGAGAGAGGGAGGGAGGGAGAGGGAGAGGGAGAGGGAGAGGAGAGAGAGAGAGAGAGAACAGAGAGAGCGAGAGCAGAGAGAGCAGAGAGGAGAGAGAGAGCGAGAGAGCGCAAAAGAGAGCGAGAGAGAGAGAGAAAGGGAGAGAGCTTTATTGTGTAGTGCAGCTATATGTATATATGTATACAAAGAGGGCGGTGCAGTTAGTGCCGGTTGGGGGTGGTCTTGATGGTTTAATGTCTTAAAGGTCAATGGGGTTGAGGGGAGGGATCCATAATCATCTTAAGGGAGTGGACACTTATCTCGGGAGCCAGAGATAAAACCTTTCTCAGGTGCAGGAACTTGCTGAGCTCTGAGGGAGAAAGGAGTGGGAAAAGGGATTTGGGTGTGCTGCATTCTCAACCAGGATGTTTACCCTAAGTTCCCATCAAGTGTTGTTTTGTGCATAGGAAGCAAAGTCCTGGTCTCGGTCCCACACTAGCACCTTGTTCAGATGTATGATGCGCAAATATTTTCTCCCATGCAGTAGAGTGTGTTTGCTTAATGAAGTTTTTCACTGTACAAAGCTTTTTAGCTTGGTGTTCCTAATTGTTTATATCTTCTTTTGTTTTTTGATTTCATGAACAGATATTTCAGTATATCTGTTGCCCCATCTAAATAGAAGGTATCATCTTTTACTTTTTCAGGTTCTAATTGCTACAAGTACATTAGCCTGGGGTGTAAACTTTCCAGCTCATTTAGTAATTATTAAAGGAACAGAATACTACGATGGAAAAACAAGACGTTATGTGGATTTTCCCATTACAGGTAATTTCTTTAGATTTTATAGATATATCAGTTTCTATTTTAGCCTTGTAATTTGAATTAGCATGGGTTAAATTTTAGAGAATTGCTCACATTTAAAATATAATAAGTGAATTATACATTATTTGGTATATTGAACTGTTTTATGTATTTTTACTTTCTTTGTTAATAAATGTCACAAGCATAACTAATGACTTCAAATTCATAAATTGACAAAATTACTGACTTTAACCATTAGTGATTTATTAGCTTATAATTAAATATTATAATGTTTAATTTTAAATCTGTTCACTAAAAATGATACTGCATGAGATTTCTAGAACCAAAGCCCTTGCTTTGTTGCTGTTTAAGTGTATGAACATATTAAAAGTATTTTCACTGGTTTCTATAAAGAGAAATATAATCAATATGTATTTCCACTCAATGAATACATGTTGAAATGTCATTTCTAAATCATTACTTAGCATGGAAATTCCTGCAGTAGGGAGAAATGAATGGGAGGGAGGCCCATCATTTGTTGGGGAAAACAATCAAGTGACTCTGCTGAAGAGATTTTTTTTCCTGTATGTGTATGGCTTTTTCTAATTTAATTAATATAGTAATAATTCTTAAGTATTTAACTAAAGGAGTGTTTGTCTCTTTTATTTTTACATACAGTAAGAAAGAATTTTTTATCATAGTGACTTGATCATTTAGTTTTTAGAGAACTCAGTAGGAGGCACCTGAGATAATATACTTGCCCATAAATCTTCTATTCCATGGTTATTGTGTTGCATTGTAGAAACATACCATAACCAGTCAACAAACAAGGTGGCATCCTGCAGAATCCTCCTCCTCTTTTTTTACAGATGTACTCCAGATGATGGGGCGTGCTGGGAGGCCTCAGTTTGATGACCAAGGCAAAGCTGTCATTCTGGTTCATGACATAAAGAAAGACTTTTACAAAAAATTTCTTTATGAACCTTTCCCCGTAGAATCAAGGTAACTTGTGCTATAAATTAATCTCAATGGATTTGTGTTGTCATGCCAAATTAATTTTTGTTTCCATTTTATTAGATAAAAATCAGGAAATGTTCTAGTTCAAAAGAATTGAAGTGAAACTGAATATAAATATTGCTATAAGACAACATTCATTTAAACTTTCATTAGCAAACTTTTTTTTAAAGAAGCAATCATAGTACAGTGTTGGTCACATTGACACTGGAGCCAGACTGCTTGGGTTTCCATCTTATCTCTACAATTTACATACTCGATACCAAGCAACTTATTTAAATCCTCCATGCCTTAGTGTACTAATCTACATAGTGGGCAGCAGCAACAATAGCAGTCTGATATAGGGTACTTGTAATGATCAAATATATAGGGTTTGGCACAGTGATAAGCACATTTAATAATTAGTTTGGTGTGATCTTTTCTAGTGACTGCTGTTGCTTTGGCAAATTTTTCTCTCACTTTCTCAGCTGAAAATAACTGTTTTGCCCTCACACACTTTTTTATTTAAGACATTTGTCATTTGCTACTTTTCATCACAATCATTTTGAATATACTGTATTTCCTGTACCATATCCTAACCACAAAGGACAAGACATTTTTCTGTTCTGCTCTCCATTCTGTCTCCGGTGAACCTCTCATCCCACATACCTCTGTCCTGCACCCTAGTTATTCTACACAAAAATAAGAAATTTTAAAAACTTTTTAAATATATGTATATTGTTCTGTGTCTCGTCATTTTTATTGATTAGCTTTTTCTTCTGTTGACCATTATTTCCTTTTTTTTCAATTGTACATAAGAATCTAAAATGAATAGCTTGTAATGCCAGTTTCTCAACACATTTGATCATTGTTGTGCACACTGCAATGTCTAGTCCAATTTATATGTTATATGGTTAGGGAGTTAATATTCATGGGTTGAATGAAAATTATAGCTTTGATGTATTGTAAAGGACTGTCATCCCTTTATTGCCAACTCTCCTTTCTTCTGCTTCAGTGTTATCCCATACTTACACCAGTACACTGTAAGTATGTCTTCCCTGTTCTCCTCAACTTCTCCTCCTGAAACTTAAGGCTCCTTTCCTGTCAACCTGTATTTATTCCATTATATCAATTGTTTTTCCAAAATTATATAGAGATTATACTGTACAAAACACATTCATTTCTTGAAACAAAATCTACTGTGTAGAATAAAGTGTGTTTCATTTCATGTTCATTTATGTTTTCTGTGTCTTTGTTACTATATAGTCTATTGGGAGTGCTTGCTGATCATTTAAACGCAGAGATTGCTGGTGGCACAATAACATCGAAGCAAGATGCAATGGATTATATCACCTGGACTTACTTTTTCCGACGTCTTATTATGAACCCCAGGTAAGTTAAGTAAGTGTAGGGCAACTCTTTATCTTACTGCTTTGCCCCAAGAGAAAATATGTTTGAAGGTAGCAGACTATAATCTCTAAATTCTCTCAGTCTCTCTCTCTCTCCCCACTCCCCTACCTGTCTCTCTCCTCTTCTTCTCACCGCTCTGCTTGTAATTTTTTTAACTTCACTTAAATTTCTGTAAATACATATAATTTTAAAAAGTTAGAACGGTGGACATTCCAGTTATATGAATTTTCTCATAGAATCAGATGAACACAATATATAGTAAAATCAGAAAAAAAATGTGTACATTTATAATTTATTTTGATTAGAACACCTACAGTCATTAAGAAATGTACTAAATTACTCAATACTGATGACTTGAGTGTAGTTGAAATTCAGAGGATGAGGATTATGAATTTGAAGGATAAAGAATTTGTGAGTTATCTTTTAGGGTTAATAAAAATCCTGCATAAAGAACTAAAATTGCAGGAATTCTGCAGGAGTCTTTTAAAACAAGCAGTATAGCTAGGTTTTCATTTAGCATCTGCTTGTCAGATACTAGACACTAAGACATAAAGGTACATCATCCCCTGTCTTCAAAAGTCAATCTTTTAATGTGTAATGAAGGTATATAAATCACTACATTGTAAATCATTAGTGCTCTAATAATATATATTTAAACTATATTACCTCCCTTGTCTGGTCATGTTGGGACTCAATCATGAATAAAAAACTTTTCTGAGTTCTGTATAATTATAATAATCTATATTTAAACTGTGAGAGTAAAAGTTTTACGAAGAGGTTACATTTCAACTAGATCTTAAATCTATATCAGTAAAAGGTAGAAGGCAAAAAATATTGTGTGGGCTGACACCCTCAGAACTTGAGTGGTTAGAGAATGGCCAGAAGTTTGATGTAGCTGGAACTTAAAGAATATAGAGACAGAAAGATGATCTTGACCAGGAAGTAGATCAGACACCAGAGAGTAGAGGAATGTTTGCCTTGCTAAGGAGTTGACATTGATCCTGCTGACTGTCATAAGCCATTGGAAGTTTCTAAACATAGTTTAACATCACCAAATTAGTTTTTGTTTGCCCCAATACTCATAGCACTATGGTAAGTGATGACTTGGAACAGGGAAACATTTATAGCACAAAGACCAATTAAGAAGTTCCATAATAATACTGGAAGGATAAATAAGACTAACAGATGCAGAGGGAAGGAAGGATGCCAAATATGAGGAACACTCCTGATATGAGTGAGAGAAATTGTTAAGGCATTGTAAGGTCCTGAACATATAAATCACAGTGATATTATTGCTAAGTCTTGCTTGTTGCTATCTTAAGAATCTTATTTCTTTTAAGCCTGTAGTTCTACTTACATAGATAGGAGTTTGAGAATACAATGCCACTTTTTGCTCGGAGTTTCCTCATCTGTTGCTTCCTCTGGATTTGTTGCAAAATATCATTTGGGAGCAAGATAGCACTGAAAATTTATCAGTAAATAGATCAGAGGATTAGACATGTCGACTGGTATGCTAGGATAGGCAGTGCAAATACTTTAGTCCAACCTTCTTATTCGATAGTGAGAATCAGAGGCTGGAAGCTTAAAATAACTGACTCTAGCTCCAATAATAACTCTGTGATAAAGCCAAGGCTTAAAAATCTTGTTTTTCTGGCTCACAGCTCTTTATGTTGAAGGGAGGAGGACTTGGTATATAAACTCTGTGTGTGTGCATGTGTGTGTAATGTCATAAGAAGAGAGGCATTCAGTGTAGTAGAGAAAGCTTGAGTTTGGAGTCAGAACTCTACTATCTATGTGACCTTGATTTACTTCACCTCTCTCAACTTCACTTTCTTCATCTGGAAAATCAGTGATGAGTTTACTTCCCTTGTCTGGTCATTTTGGGACTCAATCATGAATAAAAAAAGTTTTTCTGAGTTCTGTATTAATTATGAAAAGCATGATTATGTTAAGCTGTTATTCTGAACTCCATTCCAATTGCTTTACTCATCTATACCACCCTGAAGAGTCTAGTTGGGAGACTGAGAACCTTTAGTGAACCTTTATTTTCACCTTTCGTGAAAAGTTTACCTCACATTTGTGATTTTACTATCATTCTTTATCCTGCCAACATGCCTGCCTAGTCCTTACAACCAACCTAACAAAAATATGGTAGACGTTTAATGTTTGAGTGGTAGATGTGGTATAGTAACATACACCTGTGAGGTATAGCCTTCGCCTCTTAATCATGTACAATATTGTAAGCTCATGTTACCTCAGTAAAATAAAATGATAAGGCTGCTTTCTCACGTATGTTGCAGTAAGGCCAGAAATTTTTAAAATATGGCAAAAATGTAACTTCTTGGGATTTACCTAGTTTATTCTAGTTAAAGATAAACATTTTTAAAAGGTATAGACTACAGCTGTACAAAATGAAGTTTTATGTAACAAACCTTAGAATTTCAGTCAAAGCACAATCTGAGGAATATCCATCTTTAGAGCATCTGAAAGAAATCATGAATGTTTATTAATTTTGATTTTTATAAATTCCTTTCGTATATTTGTTTTGCCATCTAATGGCAGTTGCTTTTCTTTCCCTTCATGTTTTCCCAAAGGACATGTTCCCTTCATGTTTACCCAAACCTGGGTATCTTCAGTACCACCACTAAGCAGGCTATGTTAGATTGAAGGTACATGAATCTACCCCAATCTAGTGGCAAAACAAATATATGAAAGGAATTTATAAAAATGGAAATTAATAAAATGGAAAACTAAAATCTACACGATAGTTAGTATTTATTTTCAACTATTGAGATCCTGTGGGAAGAGCCTAACTCATTTAGTGCTGGAAGAATACCCATTTTATCGATGAAGAATTGAAGCTCAGGGACATCAAGCTACTTGCTCACAATCACACAGCTCCTGAGTGGTACAGCAGCTCTACAATCCAGGAAGTATGTTCCAGAAGCTACATTCTCCATCACTGGGCTTATTATCAGGTTCAGAACTCAAATACCCATGCTCCCCTTCTACTTCACTAGGATATACTTAATATAATACTTTTGTTTATTTAATGCAAAAAAGGCCAATTTTAATATCTATACATTATATCTAAATAAAAATGGAATGTGCCTAAATATTTTTAACTCATATTTACTTGATCTGCTATAGTCAAACTGCCATTTTTTCTGATTGGTCCTTAATTATTTGGCCCTGTGTAGTACCATCTGTGTTAATTATACCTTTTCCCAAAAGTGGAAGCAAAGAAAAGCACAGGACTTCAAAATAATTATTAAATTTTCTCTACTATTTTCATGTGTAGAAAATGTTTTTAAAAAGGTAAAATTGTCTCACTTAAAGAACTAGTATTATGTGTACATTTAATATATCCTTAATATGCAGTGTCAGGGCCATAAATTGAGATTTGACTTGTCATTGGATGGGGGAAGGAGAATGGTGCATTCCTCTGTGTGTGTGTGTGTGTGTGTGTGTGTGTGTGTGTGTGTGTGTGTGTGTGGCAAAGAAAAACTGAGGTTTATTTGAACTAGAAAACACAAAGATCATTTTCAAAATGCAGTCAGTATAGATCAATAAACTCAGTTCCCCAAACCTTTCATTGAATCATACTACCTCCACCAAACAAGCACAAAAAGTAAAATTTATGTTGACAAAGATTTCAGCCACTATTCTTGGGTTGTTCCCTTTATGCCTGTTTATAATCCTGTGTCTGTGAGTGACTGTGTGTGTGTGTGTGTATGCAAATATGTGTGTATGCAAATATGTGCATATATATGCAAAGCTAAAATTTTATGTATATAAACACAGGCACACACATATATATTTTAGTTTAAACGTATATGGACACATGTACTGGTGCATCATGAAATATAATATATTCCAAATTGAGTTCTGGATTCAATTTGTATGTTCAATTTTGCTCTCTGTTTTCCCCTGAGAGAGCTTTTAAATATTTCTGGAGCAAAAAATGTTGTGGTAGTTTCAGCTGTCCCTGTAACCACTTCCATTATTTGTGTCATTATTACTGCTGCATAATCTGAACATAAAAAAAGTGGTGCTGTAACAAATGACTTCCTAGTACTGACAGTTATAGCAGCAGCATTTCAATACTGATGAAAACTCTCCCAGCAAGATCTCCAGCCAGGTTTACATAAACCAAACAGGAAATGGTTGCCTCTGTTCACATTAAATCCAAACTGTTTGGTGTAACTTTATCTATGTTTTACACTACAATAAAGTCTCTTTATTCACAGCTGTTGAAATTTCATCTTTATAAAGGTTGCAAAAAAAAGATAACATGAGGCTTTATGTATCTAGTATTCTTGTTCATCCTTCGATAAGATCTTTAAAAGATAATTTTTTAAGTTTTATTTTTTGATTGTTTAAATTTAATGAATTTTGTAAATTTTTATGACAGGGAGAGGTTTGTTATGACTTTTTCCCAATGGACTGCTAATAGAAGTTAGCTTGTCTAGCCCATGTGCTAGATGCTGTCAGTATCAAACTGCCTTTGACTTTCACACCTCCCAGGGGACTAGTAATTGTTGTGTTCAAACAGCCTGTAATTGTGATCCCGCTGGCTTTCTCAGTACGCTTCTGGCTATTAGAATCATTAAACAACTCAGCACCTGTTAACAGCATTGTAAATATTCAACCCTGCTTGTGTGCAGGTTGAGTCCAATATAGAGAAATCTTACAGAGCTCAGCCTCATAAATTAGAGCTTCTGACAAGTCAATTATTGTGAAACTGGGTTTCTCTGTGAAATAAATGAAATAGCATGCTGACAAAAAGGTAGGCTGTCTGTTTATGGCAAAGAGAAGATAATGACTTGATGATTCAATGCAGTGAGCATGAAACTACATTGTATCCTTTATCCGTAATTAAACAGTTATGTAATATTTCTGTTAAAATAGCCAGTAAGTTATAAATTTTGTACTGTGGAGAGTGTAACATGAGAACAGACCTTTTACTTAGCTGTTGCATGCTTTTTCAAGTTAATAAAATGATTATAGAAATTAATGATATGTAACATTTTTAACTGCTTATAATTATTTAGGCAAGAAATTACATGGAAACTAAAATGTTCACATTTAGATGTAAAGGTTATCCAACTCTACTAACAAACTCTATCCTTTAATCGCAGGAAAATATAAGACTATTACCTAAAGTGTATGTGAACACAAAGATATCTCCATTTACACTTTGTTTTATTACTTTACAGTATTTTACAAATTATCTATCTAATTAAGATGTGGTAACATATCTGATAAGTATTTGAAAATGTTTTAATTAACCTTAGATTCTCAGTCTAAATATTAGCAAATGACTAATTAAATCAGTGAAGTTATATATTTTATTAAAAAAAGATCCATTTTAGTATTTGTGCTTAGTTGTATAAGAATTGTTTTGGTGATTGAGATTTTACTATTCTTTAAAAAAAATATTTAAAATAGAGCACTATTTTTAAAAGTTACATATTTTATAAGTTACTTAATGCTATCACATGTGCCAAAATATTCAAAGAAAATAGTTTTAAGGTTTTTTTATTCCAGATATTATAAAGATAAAAGTATTGATATTCAACGAATTGAATATTCAATGAATTGAATATCAATTCAGTTACTCTATTGAAATTTGCATTTCTTCTGTTGTGAAATTCAATAAGAATATTGGAGAACATGTTAAAAAACAACTATAAGAAAAAGAAATACCAATGAGAATTTTTTGTTATTCTTAAAAATGCATCAGTTTTTAGTAAATTAAATTATAAACAATATTTTGTCTAATCAATAATTTGTTATGGTCTCAGAAATTATTTTAGTTGATTTTTCTTGAATTTTTGTAACTTAAATGTTTAAACTTTATCTAGGTAAAAGTCACAAATTAATCTTAAAAATGTCTCAGTGGACTTAAACTTTAGAAGAGATGGTAGCCCATCAAGATATTATCTTGTAAATGCATGATACAGTAGTAAAACAACTATTAAAGAACCTGTAATTTTTAAAGGAATGTTTTTATCATTAATAGTTGAGTATTAGATGCAACTCTATAGGTTTTATTCATTAAAGCATAAATGGTAAAATTGATATTCCAGCTATAAGAGAACGGCTTATGATAACCAGGACCAGCGTCCATGATATTTCTTTTCAAATGACCTAATACATTTATAGATAAAACAGAATTTTAACTTTCTGTTTTTTAGAGTGATATTACTTTCATAGTCTTCCTTCTGTAATTTCAGTTGCACAGAGTGGTTTTATTCTTGCTCTCCAAATGGTATTACTTATTCAGTGTCCTAGCCATGTTTTCACTAGTGTTTTCAATTTAGAAATAACTTTATCAATGATAGATTATTCTAGACAGCTGAAAATATTATTTGAAAATTTATAGACTTAGCAAGCCAAACTAATGTAAAATATAAAGTACATGTATTACAGAAAGTTTGATGTCATATGTCAAGGAAAAAAATGAAAGAGCCTTGGAGATCGGTTTCCCCAAATGGTCAGATAGACTTTGCATTATGCCCAGAGTAGGCCTCTGGTGATTTCAAAGAATATGGTTTGGGGGGTGTAGGTTATTAGGAACATGACCTCCTAACTGAAAGAAAAAATGGCAAGGTCATCTCTTTATTGTCATGTGAAATCTCCCCCCTTTCTTTCTCCTTTATGCCCCAGGTTCTTAAGGATATATATACCTCTACTGCTCTATTTTACTTTAGAATTTAAACTGGATATTTTCCATACATATTTTATTAAATATTTGAAACTTTCTCCTGCTAATCTTACTTGATTTTCATTTGTTCATCCCTAAACAGAACCCAGATGGGGTGAGCCCCAACAAAAGAAAATATTAATAATTTGGAATGATTTGGAATAACTTGTTGGGTTTTGAGTGTCAAGTACATTGCTGAGGGGAGCAGCGGTCGGGTCAGGAGAGGTCTGCCTCGCCATGTGGATCTCCTCTGGGGCAGGCGGGAAGCGAACTCATGGAAGTGGCTTTAGTGGCTTTAGCTTCTTAGTGCAATGCTTTAACCCACTTGCGCCACCAGGGAGGGCCCGAATATCCAGAATTTTTATTTCATCTCTAAAGCAAAAGAAATTATTCTAGCTAAATATGCTTTCTTAGTAATTTTGAAAATAAAGGGAATACATTCTAGTGGTTTCTAATGCCAGTTCTGATATGTCTATCTAGATATAGATTTATTTTTTATTCAAATAGACATTAGGACTGCTTTCATTGCTTACCTGTTCACTGATAAAGGTTTGTTTATTTTGGTCTAAGAACTTTTCCAGGAAAGCACTAATTTCTCTATAGGTTAAAAATTAAAAGTAACTGTTTCTTGTTAATGAAAATTAAAATCCTCAGTATAAATTTACAGTTTAGTGGAATATTTTCTCAAATAACCTGTTATTAATCTCTAAATAAATGTAGTATACTAACTAACTCCAAATCCTTCCCTTTGAAGAAAGGGGTGGAAAGTCACCACCAGATTGACTGGTTGTGGATTTCCCTAAGTCTTTCATTTGACATTAACACTTTATGCCAAGCTTTAAATAGCCCCTAGATTGTTCTGTTCAGGGGTAAAACTCTATCCTTCAGTGATAGAACCTGCACACTGAAGCTGCTCTTCAGTCCTGTTCCTTGATTTGGACAAGAGAGAAGTAGACCACTTAAGTTCTCCATGCTGATGAGGTTGCAGGATTTACCTAGTAAGAACTAAGGGCTGCCATGCCATGAATGGGGCCAGACCCTCACCTTTTAGATCTATCCCAAAGTAGATTCGTAGTGATACTAGGGATTTGTTTGCCAGGAACCCTTTTGAAGATAAAGAAATAAATGATTCAGGTAAAGTACATGCCTTCAGACGTTTTAGTTAGAAAATATCCAAAATTGAACCTCTGCATTTCAGATATTTTGAAACTTAATGACAGTAGATTGTAAGTCTGATGAATGTCTATTCTTCAGGATGACATTTATGTCTTACCCCTAGAACAATGACTAAATTTCCTAAAAGAACTCATTCACCTTCCTTTCTAAATTAATAGCTTATGAGTTTTATATTACTAAGGATGGATTTTTATATATAAAAGGGAATCTTGTTCTGTATATTTATATATTCTTCTTACCCTCTCTAAATCCAGTGCATAATTATAATTTGCTATAGATGAGTAATGTGAAGTAATACCAGTTTTAACACTGGGAATATAATATTTTTTTTGTATTATGCTGATTTTGAATTAATTTTGAAACAGAATTTTTTCTGTTTATTTTACATATTTTTATATATTGTCTTTATTCATAAGTCATCAAACCTTAGTGTGAGACTTCATAGTTATGAAATGGGAATAGTGATTGCAGTTGCTATATTTCTATAATTTCCTGTCAATTTAATTTTGCTTTGAAATTTTGAAAATTTCAAATACTATGAAATTGAAAGGATAGTTTTAATAAAAAAATATTTGTAAACCAATAATGACTTTGCTTATGCCCTAGCTACTACAATTTGAGTGATGTGAGCCATGACTCTGTGAACAAGTTTCTGTCCCACCTGGTTGAAAAGTCGTTGGTTGAACTGGAACATTCCTATTGTATTGAAATTGGAGAGGTACGACTCAGTTTTATACATTCCACCTGTAAATATTTCCTGACTTTTTTTAACAACAGGGCTTTGTATTCTCCTGATAACCAAAAAAAAATTAATGAATTTTTTACAATTTGTAGTATGAATTATTAATTTTATAAGTGTACTTTTATTTGACATTTTATCCTTATTTTGACTTAGGATAACCGGAGTATTGAACCTCTGACATATGGTCGAATTGCTTCTTACTACTACTTGAAGCACCAAACAGTTAAAATGTTCAAGGAGCGTTTGAAACCTGAATCCAGCACTGAAGAATTACTCTCAATTCTGAGTGTAAGTGCCATGTGCCATAGTGTTAATTGTTCTGAACAGAGATTACATTTTATATGTTTCATACCTTCTCTTTTAATTGGGTAGTTAAATTGCTGTCATCCAGCAATTTTGATATTTGACAGGAACTGATTATGATGCCCTGCCCTCTGTCAAATAAGATCACTACAAACAAACATATCTGAACTATGTTTCCCATAGATAAGGTGACCACATAATTTACCATCCAAACTTGGAGGCTTCTGAGAATGCAGTGACACTAAAAATATTTAAGCCAGAAAAATAGGCATGAACTGGGCTTTCCAGGTGATCAGTCTGTCCTTCGATATAGAGTCTCTGAATTGTAATAGAAATCTTTTCTTATTGTTTCTTTTGTGTTATTCTTATTGAATCTATGATGGGACTAAGGTTTCTTTATATAAGTTGTATATGATTGAGTTCTGTTAAAACTAATGCCAAGAAAAAAGTTAACTGCCCACTCTTTCCAAAAAAGAAAAGAAATTCAACTAGATTTAACATATGGCAAAAAAAAAAATGATCCTGTGTTCATTTTTGCTGAGAACTAAATTTAATATCAAAAAGTTAAAATCACTGTAAAGAATATCTTCAGCATCTTCTCTGCATATCTTATATGCCTTTTTGTCTCTGCATGCTATATATGCTTCATTTGTTCTTACCTTATTGTGTTTAAGTACAATTTACCACAGAACTTTATTAGTATATTAGTCAGTACTTTCACTATAGGTAAATACTATATGTTATCTCACCTCAGGTATGTTGTACTTTTAAAAACAGGTAAAATGACTAGACTATAAAGTCCGAACGCCCTTCTCTTATAAGTTAATTGATTCTGAAATACTTCACTTACTATTCTTTCTCAACCACTCCTGCTTTATATGAAGTTCAATTTCATTAAGCTTCCATATGCAATTCAGTTTTTCAATTTTTAAACTTTATCCCCCTTGAGAAAGTAGTGTATAGGTTTTATATGTAGCATAGTGCAAAGTATATTTTAGTGAGTCAGAAATATTTGTTAATAAATTGTTTATGGATGGATGGATCCTGTATTAATCAGTGCTGTAATATTTGCTAGTAGAAAAGAGGTTTTAAGGTATATGAGAAAACTGCCCCAAAATAGGGCTTTTGTAAAATCTAAAATTCATGTCTGAGCTAAGCACATAAAAAACATAAGATCTTTTACAAATCTCTAAGAATTAAGTTTTTTTTTTAAGATTTATTTATTTATGCTTACAGATCTGGGGTACAGGCCAGAGGTGTGGTGAGTGAGAGAGACATAGACAGATTGGGGAGCAGATCAGGCAGATCAACGAAGTACACTGCTGAGGGGAGCAGCCAGCGGCTCAAGAGAGGTCTGCCACGCCATGTGGGTCAGCTCCCTGGCCGGGATCAAACTCGTGCTTCAGTGGCTTCGGAGAGCTTCACAATGTTGTGCTTTAACCCATTGCACCACCAAGGAGAGCCCAGAATTAAGTTTTTATTATCCTAGTCAGATTCATAGGAACATGATTTATCTCTGGGAAAGACCTTAGAATAATGGGTAATTAATGTGGAAAGGTATCTTAAATTAGTATTGTTAGAATATAATTTTGTTCATATTTACCAAGCTTGGTAGGTTTACCTAATCTGATATTTAAAAGACTTATCTTCTCTAGGAACATATATGAGCAGTGTTCTTGTGCTAGGGCCTATTCTCAGAACTTTATATTAATAAACTCATTTAATCCTGACAGCACCACCCATCTGATATTGAAAACATCCCTTTACTTTTTTATCTGAATTTTATAAATTAGCCATCTTGTCCAACTTGTATGCTAAGTGAATAGTTTACAGCCTAGCACCTAGGCTATGCTGTCTTTCATGTTACACACACAGACACACAGGTGAGACATGCTGTGCCCAATAGTGAGGAGCCAAACTAAATAAAATTGTCTTAATATCTTAAACATATAATGAAGTATGCATAATTCAAAAGTGTTATCTTTAGTATGTTACTTTGCATTTGTCCACATTAAAATTCATTGGTTACACTTCTATCCACCGCCCATAAATTGATTCATCCAAAAAAAATTTCATGCCTTTCTAAGAGTAGGAGATAGGATAGTGCACATGACTGACAGACTGTATGTGTAAGAGAGAGAATACATAGATAAACTATGAAAGACTCAGGTGTTGCTCCTAACTGACTTACCAGCTCAGTGTGATGCTCTAAGAATGGTGACAGGCAGATGCCCATAATCAAGAGGAATATCTAAAATCAAAACAGTGTATAATATCCTCTCTTTTCTGTTGATCCTCCTATGCATGAGGTTTGTATTACTAAATACATTTCCTACATACATTGCTAGATACATTTTTATTGGCCCCAAATCAAAAGAAAATCGTGGAGAAAATTCTCAATGAACCCAAAGTGATACTTGCATTATAGATATGTGATCAGAGTATTTCAGTCTAGAAAGGCAAAGTTTTTGACTCAATATAATAGAAATTAAAATTGTGAATTTTAAATCATGAATTAAAGTAAACACAAAATCTTTTTCAGTTAGCAGGACGTTCCATCTAATTTTACAAGTAGTAAACTCAGAGAATTTGTTACTTCAGTTGATAGAAGCAATTGAGGACAATAGTATATAAATTCACAGTGGCTAGAATTAACTTATTATTAATAATATCACTAAAGAACTAAAAGAGAAAAGGGAATTTTGACTATCATATTGGTGTGATAGATGATGATGATTCTTTTACAGACCAGGGAAGGGGGGATTAGGACTGGGTCTATTTAATGTTAGCATGTGTTAGTTTGGTTTTTTTTGTTTTCTCTTGACCCACTAGATACTTATGGAATTTTGGATCCTTCAGAGTATTGTAGAGTTGTTAGTTTTTTTTTTTAATTTGGCAATCTGTTGACTTTTCAAGTTCTAATTCCTATTTATTATTACTCCATTACAAACAACCTTTATTTCAGACAACACTGTAAAAGAAAATATACTTCCACTAATTTTTCTGTTTCTAGTACCACCTTGAGATTTGTGTTTTCACATACTCAACTTATCCCTAAGCAATTAAACAGTTTTGACTTAAGTTTTTAGATATCATTGTTTTTAACAGACATAAAATGCTATATTGTAAGTGTAAGGCCAAAATTTCTATTGACTGCATTATTCATTAATCTTATTCTTTTCTATAATAATAAACCATTTATTTAAATCTTGCCTTTCTAATACATCCATGAAAAAAATAATAACTACCCTTTATTGGGTATCTCATGCAAGTTAGGAACTTTTATACATTATTTATAATCATCAAACCACCCTTCATTGTATTTGTTAATATATAGAAAACAAGTCTGGTGTTTACTGAAGTTAATTTTCCTAGTTTTTATGGAAACTAGCTCTTTATATTTCCTTTCCCTACACCTTAATTCCTCTTGTCCTTAGTATATTTTACCTTTACCCTATTTTGTCAAGTTTGTTCCCAGCTATAATAAATTTTAAATAATGAAATGTAAGGTTATATACATTTTTAATAGTTGCTTTTCAAATTATATGTGTATCCTTGCAATTTCGAATTATTGGTATTAAATGCAGATGTTAATTACAGGCAAAATAATTATTTCAGTATCCCTTATTGAAACATAAATTTTAAGTTTTAAACAAAATGATGCTATTTGGAAAGGTTAGCTGTTTTATAAGAACTCTTGCCAAGTTTTTTTTTTGACACCATGAATTAATAAGCTCCATAATTAAGGCAGCTGCTTCACACTTCTATTGTTAACCAGTGACATTACATCTGTCTTGCTCCATTGATGCCCTCTTCCTACTTATTGAAGCATTTAGCAGTTTTGGCAACAGGGATTACATGGCATAGAGTAAGTAGTCTAATTAGATATAAGTGAAAATCCTGAGGGAAAAGGGCATTTAAAAAGTAATTTGAAGAATCTCTTAATGATGTTGGCACTGAAAACCCAAGTCTAGAGTAGAAAGTGCCTGTCATGAGGATCATGACTTGATATGTTCATGGACTTTTAGAAGGTAGCCTCTTTTAAAACAATCATAGAAATGAAAAGATCTCTAATTTAAAGAATATTTAGTTGAACAAAATTTCCAGAATATGCTTGCTCAGTACTATAAATAATTTAAAGAAAAAGCGAAGCATGCTCAAGAATTTTAATGAAATTTTTAAATAAATGTACTAGTTATGTTTCATGGCACTACACAGAAGCATGAAATATATTTATATTATCAAATATCCAGCTTGAAAATTTGTCAAATTCTTATTTTTCCACAACATCTTGGATATTGACGAAAAGTGTGGATTTCATGTGTTGATATATAATAGAACCATTCCAAATTTAGAGAACTACCAGAACAGTAAGATTTTTATATAGCAGTAAATTTCCAGGTTTGGCCGCTAATCTTTATACTTCCTTCTTTAAATGAACATTGATTCTTTGCTCTGCCCATATAAAGAACATTTTTAGTAATACAGCATTTTTAATGTTGGATGTTGTTCTGTTTGGGTACAGCTAAAATCCGGTAGAAAAATTGCAAATATCTTTCTAAAATGGGAGCTTGGAAAAATAAGCAAGAATTTCTTTTTAAGAGAGAAATTTAGAATGAAATAAATGAAAAGGACAAGTCATATATAAATAACATTGGTAGGGGACCCAGCATGTAAAATTAAAGACTTCATTAAAGGAAAAGTGAAAGAAAGGAAAGGTTAACTGAGTAACAGTGAACACCATCAACCTTGTGGCCTTCCATTTCCAAATAACCTCCTGACAATCGCAGGATCCCATCTGCTACTCTTTATCTTCCTACTGGGGAAACCTAATGGGATATCTTCCAGGGTTCATGAGAAGAGCTTCCCTAACCCTCAGGCTGGGGAGCTGCCTGGCATCTTTTGGAGAGGCACAGATGGCAAATGTCTTGAAAAAAAAGTATCTTTCTACTTCTGCTGGTCTCTTTCCCTTGACACCTTTCCTA